CTTTACAGACAGCGCTCTGGGACTAATTTCCAGCTGCATGACAAGGCTTGCATTCGAGGAAAATTGATTACAAGGCCTGAGAAATGCTTGTTAAGCTTACTTGTGGCAGCATATGTATAAACGTACTTTTTTATAATGGTGTACATGTATATATGATAGAGACGAAAAACGCCAATGAAGTTCACCTACTTTGTGTCCTTCGCTTCCGTTTTTGATGTTGCCGTTCTGTCTGCTTCGAAAATAAGAGGTGAGTTCGAACCCGCTCTTGCTGGCCATCGGCCGCGCGCCCTCTCTTACCGCCCATCTGCAATTTTCATCTTAGACGAACAAAAGGTTTAGATGGTTCTTGATTTTTTTCAGCTAGCCATCAGCTTATACTCGAACTCTTGGTGTTATTGCTCTAACCCTTCATGTATCATCACCTAGTCCTTACCAGTTATGATGACTTTAGTTCCACCGCTTTACCCAGCTTAATCTATGAGGGACGGTGTTTCTACAGTAAAAATACTTGATGTAGCTAACTACCACTATAAAGCTAGTAGTTATTTACCAGAATCATCGGCCTTAAATTTTACTACTAAGCTACATACCTTTCATTCCTTCGAAATAAAAGGCTGCACTTAATTCTTTCAAAAAATAAACTTCATTGTTTTGATGTTCCTCTGACCCTGGTAAGAGCGGAGCCACAAACCTTTCGAAGACCTAATTTCAATAAAAAACAATGTATAATAGCTTACCATCTATGGAAGAACAGTGACAAGAAAGGAACTGTGAGAACAAACACTGTTAAGTTTAATTAATAATAAATATTACTAAAGAAATTTAAGGTAAAGACACTTCCGCCTTCTAAGGTACGATATATTCGAGCCTTATGCAGTCATATAGTAATACAGGGTTTTATAACGACGGCTCCACGAACCCTCGATTGGTATCTCGTATTATGAAGTCTTTAAACAATGTAACATGCAATATATTGGGACCTCATAGTACGCATAATAAGGGCGAGGATAAGGGCAGAGAATACTGCAGCACAATTCGGGTCAATATAAAAAATAAAATTGAAGTAAAAACATACTTCCTCTCCCATAACTCGTGCTTTCCAAAAATAGTTCAGAATTTCCTGTAACAGAAAGAAAAAATGGAAAATCAGTGCAGGTGATAAGTTCCGGAACTTATTCGTTTTAGAATTTATAAGCTATGAAATGGTTACATAGTGAACCAGTGTTTAATCCGTACAATGGCACTGTCTTGAATGCCTTCCTCAAGATGAAACCAAGATCCTTTTAAGAAAACCTTTTAAACAAAGATTGAGGATGGGTAAATACTAAAGGAAGAAATGATTAAACGAGATGAACTATTTGCAGCATTTAGAAGGGGTTGTTACATACCCGAATGTTAATGTAAGAAATGAATGTTGTAAGCCATTCTTCCACCTGCCAGTTGATTTGTGTAGCCCTATCGATCAGTTGCTACTCGATTTAATTCTTGTGCCCTTTCTTATAACAACAACAACTGGAATTGAGCTTGGACAGGCGCCTACACGACAGCTCTCTATGATGAATATGAGTAAATAATAAAAGTTGATTTCTTCTGATCGTCTCTCAGTGACCACCCAGAAGCAGCATGCTTTCAAATTTATCGTTTATTCGAAGAATAACAGGAACAAAGAGTAGCAATTAAGTTCATTGCTCAGTCTAGACAGCTTCCCAAGTTTTTCTCAGTTTTCTCAAATATCAGCTCATCCCTATCCCAAAAAATCAATTTCGGTAGATTGAACAAGAACCATTAGATATGTGTCACGAATCGCTTTATCAAGTTGATATCTCCCACTCAATCAAACTCATTTACTTATGCAGACAGTTGATTACCGAGGATGATTTATGTGGGGAATATACACTTGCAACTGTTTCTCATTTACTGAGTAGCAAAAAACATACCATTTTTCAAAGCCTGTTAGTTGAGTCGTTTCATGATCGCGTCCAATTTAGAAGAAGATGAGAGTTTGCTCGAATCGTCGTCGATGTTCGGGAAGTTGAGACGACTGCACCACCCTTCCAGGTGTCCAGCGGCCAAGACGACGAAGAAATTTCAGCTATAGCAGCCAACATGCTGTGTGATAATGCTGCTGAAACCTGCGTGTCCTCTGAGCAGAGAAAACAGATGGTGGCCGCGCTCGAGCAACGAGCACACGCGACGAACTCGTCCACGGACGAGACGTCATGCCGCCAGCCCGCGCGCGCGCGACAGACCGCCCGTCATTTCAACATCGAATTCACTTCCATGCACCCTCGAGATGGGGTGCGTTGTGGGTGGCGGTTTGCCTATTTGTGTCGAGTCCTGTCCTTGCTTTTTACCCCTTCTTCATGCTTATTATGAATTGAGTGATGCCTTCCCACTGTTTTCAAAGAAAATGAATTGGATTGCCCACTTTACAGTGTGAAATCCCGTGGTGGTCCATCGACTTGTTTATTTGCTATGGATTTGCGTTTTACTCAGCCTAAACGCTTTCCACCAATCTTCTTTTTCTTCAAATCTTGCTATCTTCCTCACTGGCTGTATCTTTTAGGTCAAACTAACCCAGGTTTGAACTCAAAACGATGGCCACCCTAGCACGTTCGGGAAATGTGGCAACGAAAGTGGTATGTTTTAATGTTTTCTAAATGGATTTTATGTTGGCTTAGTTGCCATAGCGAAGCTGTATCCATTGATGAAAATTATAGCTAGTAAAGTTACTTTCATCGGCTCCAAAAAGGTAGCCAGAAGTAATCAAATAGCCTCCCTCGAAAATTGGCACCCGGAAATTTTACTTGTTTGCCTTTTTTAAATAGGTTTCACTAAGTGATTGGTGATTGAAGGGAGCTTATACGGTGGTTTTCAGTGCCGTGAAAATTACTGCTCATAAATGATTTGGTTATAACTGTTCATCCTTTCTAGCTTGAGGAACTCATTTCCTGTATTCTTTCGAATTCACGTCGATGATACGACAACATTCGTTAACTAGTCACTCTTTGGCTTCACTGCTGCTTGCAAATTTAAGAAGTTCGAGTTACTATGTCAAATGTTCTAGTATTGTGTAGGGGCCTAAGTAGGTTCTCCCCTAACTCGGTCGCTAAGGGGTGGGCTTAAGTAGAAATCCCTGAACTTTACGCTCCTTCCTGACTGCAAATATCTTTCTTCCCACGATTGTCTGGAAGATCCTAAATGTTCTCGGTGTTTCTCGCTTCATGTATTAAGACTGGTTCCGAGACCCCAACTCAGCGCTTTCGCTATGCTAAAGCCCTTTATAATTTTCACCTCGATAATTCTTATCTGAACACTTAAGCATCATTTTTATAGGTTTGTGGATCACAACACTACACAAGCTTTGTCGTTGCCTCTCCATCGTCTAAAGTAGTAAGTTTTTATTCATGATTCCACCATTTCGAAGGTTTTCAAGAGTTTTGCGGAACTTCTAATTATTTTTTATCGCGTTCGTTAAACATAGCCTTGGTGCATCTCCTCGACGAAGCAATTTCTAGTGCGTTGGCTTTGCAACTTGTCGGAATGATGGATATTTTCCATCGTTCCAACAACTTGCATAGATAAGCCATTTGCTCTCAACTTTTTATTGACTGGTTCTCACTTTTATTATACTGAACGAACACCTCAGAAGAATATTTTCTTGGAAGGAATGAAATCTTGCTTTCGATGCATTATTAAGGTGTTATCTTTTCAAATGATATCTTGTCGGTAGGCCTCATTTAGAGAATATTATAAATATTTTCCCTGACTTGCTATTTGCAGATATGCATATTCAATTTGCTTAAGGTTACTCCTATCAAGGACGTCGTTACGGAGTTCAAAACCCCCGACTCACTGCAAAATGCAGCAAGTCGCTGTACTAACCATGGAGGTATACTCTCGTCCAACTTCGCCTTCAAGGGAATAAACGGTACTCCTTTCAGCTTCTCTGATGCTTTTCTTATCTTGTCTGAACATGGAGACGTCATGAATCAAAATTGACTTTCAGTTTCATCTCGTCGTTTTGCACATACCGACGTCAAATTCCCGGACTTCTCAGAGTACCGTAGAGAGGTCACTCTAGATACTCAAAAGGCCGCTCGAGAAACCGAGGATCAACGGCGCTCTCTTTCTCAAGCTGTCCTTTATGGAGGCATGTCCAGCTAATTCTGGCTGCAATTTAGCAGTTTTATCCAGGAATTTTTATCACTTCCCTATTCAGCTGGTGGTGTGATGTCTCTCTGGGCTGCCAAGGAGGTGACCCAAATCGCGGTTATTTACAAGGTGGCTGCTGCTTTTTTAAATGAATATTAGTTAGAAAAGAATGTAATCTTTTTATAGGCTATGGCTGCCGACCAGCGTGCCTTAGCTTCGATTGAGGTGAACTTGGACGAGATTCCTGAAGGCGTAACGAAGACCTTCGAGTGGCGTGGAAAGCCGGTTTTCGTTAAACACCGAACAAAGGCCGAGATCGAAAGGTGTGGCCTAGCCCAAATAAGTGCTAA